CTGGAAGCTTTGCCACGGATATTTTAAATATCAGCAGGGTCACCCATGGTGGACAGGTTTCAGGTGGCCTTCCAGACAAAGACAGACTAGGAAGAAGGAGAGACAGACTACTTCCGAATCTTTAGTCACTGAAAACCTTATGAATAGCATAGAAACACTGTCAGATATAGCGCCGGAAAATGAGCCCCTCAGGTTGGAAGTCACTCAAAATGCGACTGGGGAAGAGTTGGCTGTGATGATATGAATGGAGTAAAGACAGCCGTGGGACCTTCATTTGCTGACGGGGCACAACTCAAAATGAGGAGAAACAGCTGCAAATGTCCACTAATACTTGGAAAGTGGGATATACGAAGTGTGAATCTAGGAAAATCGGAAGTTGTCAAAAATGAAGTGGAACATACAAAGAGCAACGTCTTCGGCATGTGTGAGCTGAAATGGGCCAGTATTAACCATTCTGGATGTGACAATCCCATGGTTTACTATGCCAGGAATGACAAACTGAAGCGGAATATCACCGCATTCACTGTCAAAAAGAACATTTCAAGACCCATCTTAAAGTATAATGGTGTCTGTGATAGGATAATGGCCACACACCTACAAGGAAGACCAGTAAATACCACTATTATTCAAAGTTACACATCAACCACTAAAGCCAGTGAGGATGAAATTGAAAGATTCTACCAACTTCTTCAGTCTGAATTGATCAAACATGTAACATGGACATACATGGAGGTGCCATGACTTGAAGAGAGGGCATAATTGATAATTACACGTGTTGGAATGCAAAACTTGGAAACAAAGAGGAAGGATCAGTAGTAGAAAAATATGGCCCTGGTGACAGAAACAATATTGGAGATTACATAATAGAAGTTTGCAAGACCAATTACTTGTTCATTGCAAATACCTTTTTTAAAACAACATAAAAGATGACTATACACATGGACCTCACCAGATGGAACACACAGAAATCAAATTGACTACATCTGTGGAAAGAGATGGTGGAAAAGCTCCATATCATTAGTCAAAACAAGGTAGGGGCAGTCTGTGAAACAGATCATCAATTGCTCATTTGCAAGTTCAGGTTGAAGCTGAAGAACATTAAAACAAGTCCACAAGAGCTAAAATATGACCTTGACCATATACCGCCTGAATTTAGAGATCATCTCAAGAACAGATTTGATGCATTAGACACTAAAGATCCAAGACCAGAAGAGTTGTGGGATGACATCAAGAACATCAGACAGGAAGAAAGCAAAATATCATTAAAAAGACAGAAAAGACCAAAATGGATGTAGGAAGCGGCTCTGAAACTTGATCTCTAGTTTAGAGATGTTACAGCAAATAGAAGAAATGAGGGGTAAAAAAAGCTGAATAGAAAATTTCAAAGGGTAATTTTGAGAAGACAAAGTCAAACATTATAACGAAATGTGCAAAGACCTGCACCGAAAAGGAAGAACACACTCAGCATTTCTCAAGCTGAGGGAACTGAAGAAAAAATTCAGATCTCAACTTGCAA